AGAGTTTTCATATGGAAGAAACTTGGTGAAGAAGAAAGATTACAAGTCCTCCAAATGAATCCCCAATTTTCCATGTGTGACTTCAAATGATCATAAATTGGTCAATTTTTATCACCTTGAGCCCATTCTTTTTCCAAAATGATCTTGAGGATGTGAAATATATGCCTTCTTTTATGTGCAAAGTGGGAAAATGAATGGAAGTTTCCTTAAAGATGCAAAAGATTATAGGTCATTTCATGATATTTTGCCAACTTTAACAAGTCATAACTTGCTCAAATTTTGGAGATTTTGAATGATTCAAGTTTCAAAATGTCATTCAAGAGATCTACTTCATGCCATCTTTTTTGATCAAGAGCAAATTCGAAGTGGAAGGCCATGTTTGGATGCAAAACATTATAGGATATTTTTGATGAAGAATTTGAAATATTTCTAAGTATGGAAAGTCAACCCTTTTTCTTCAACTTTGACTCAATATAAATTTCAGCTCAAGCATCCATTTAACTCCATTCTTTTTCCATTGCAAAGCTTGTAACCTCATCTTTCTAAAGCATCAAGAATCATGCCATAAGACCCCTTGAGCTGAGAATGCCATAGTTTCAAAAATGGTAATTTGGAATTGAAGTTTCCTTGCAAGTCAGAATTTGAATTTCATGTTACAACCTTTAAACCTCAAATTAACACGCGTTTTGGGTCTAAACATGATTAGCCAACTTTCCCAAGTGGATTAGTGCATCAAAACGCAAGAATTGGATGAGTTTTGGTGAAGTTTGGATCACACTTCACTCGTGCATCAGGTTTGCACGAATTCCCTCCAAAACACATCATTCACTCTTCCTTTTGATCCCATTCGCTTCTCCTATAAATACATGAACTATCTCATTCATTTTCCCAAGCTTGGATAGCCAGAATCACCCTGCCAAACTTGCTCCATAACTCAATTTTTTGTAACTTAAAAATCCATTCTCGAGCCTTTTTCAATCCAATTTTTCCATCAATTCACCTTCCTTGATCATCCCCGAAGCTAACCACATAATTACATTCAAGAATCGTGTCCTATACTGCTCCATAGAAGTCCAGTTTCAGAGCTCTGCAACTCAACTTCAATAGGTAGATTCCTTCTTCAATTCTTCAAAACTCTGATATCATTGTGTTGCTCTCATTGCCTTGGTTCTAGTCGCAACACTTACCTTTTATTGGAAACACGTTTTGACCATGAAATTTCAAATCCTTTTTCAAAACTTTCCTTCCAAATTGCTTGAGCTACAATTTTTATAAATTTGGCGCGATGGTGTGATTGTCTTCGTCTTGAAGAGACGAAGCGAATAACATAGGTCTGAGCTTCTGATTTTACAGTTTGAGAGACCTGCAATTTGTGATGGCTGGAGGTTGAAGATGACCAACGTGTCATCTTCCAACCAATGAAGGCGCGCCATTTGTATTTTTCAAATCCTGATTTAATTAATGATTCTGTACAATATTCACTAATGACCATGATATGCACAGTGCACCAGATTCCTTGGATTTGATTACTAACGTGTTTTGAATCTCATCCAATGGTCCACATATTTTACTTTTATTTTCTTTTTCTGATTTTTATATTTTAATTGTTTTAAATTTCAAAAAATCATAGAAAATTCATTTTTAGTCCAAAAAATCTGAAAAAATTATGAAAAATATTTTTGATTATTCTCTTTCTGATTTTTATTTTTTCACAATTTAATTTTGTGTTTTGGTATTTTTTATAAATTTTACACTTATTTGACTTGTTTTAAATGTTTAAAAATACTTTTATACATTTTAAAATTCTGAAAAAATTATGGAATGATCCAATGATATTGTGACAAATATTGGTGACCTTATTTTATTTTTGTTTCCGAATTTACTATATTTGACCATTTTTTGTTTATTTTACCCATTTATTTTAATTTTAAAAATAGTTTCTGACTTTAAAAAATTACCAAAAAATTTGTAAAATTATTTGAGCTTTTTTTCTGATTTTTCTATGGTCTTACTTTTTATTTCTTGATTAATTTGAACATAGTTTATATTTTTCTCTTTATTTTCTATTTTTAAATATTATTTTTAAACCCTTTTATGTATATTAAAATGTGATATTATTTTGTGACTATTTTCTGGTTGATCATGGGTTAGATTTTGGATCATGAACTTTATTAACATTATTGGATCCATGGTGTTGAGTTTAACTCCACAAAAATGGATGAATGATTTTAATAATAGTTTGATTAAAATTTAATTCAAATGTGGTTTGTATATTTTTCCCCATCCCTCTTCATCTCACCCCCTTCTTATTGCACTAGATGTTGTTGGAGCATGATCTCTATATCATGTCTCAAAACAAATGGTGCATAAATTGCTATTGACCGACCTCAAAATATGTGCGACTTCTATATAAGTCCACTTACGATTACTTAACATAACGCTAAATTTTGTCCCGATTCGAATAAATGATCATTCGTGGCCCAAACTTATGATTGCAAGCCCAAGTATGTTAATTTGATCTCTTTGATCCAATAACCTTGAGATTCATTGTGTGGAGGCTTTGGTTCTACCAATCCTCTAATGGATCTACAACACCTTTGGTCAACGTAGATCACTTAAACATCGTTGATCATTAAATGGTACTTATGAGAATTCCAAATGGATGATATACTTGACAAAAAGCAAGTGTAACTTGTTGTGTGGAGGCTTTGGTTCTACCAACCCTCTAATGAGTTCCAAATGCAAGCTTCAAGATGGTCATCCAACTAACCACTAATTATTGACTTGTTTTACCTTATGTTTTCATTCTTTTTTATGCTTTATGTACCATTTACTTTTAGCATTTACATTTCATGCCATTTTCATCATTGCTCATTTGAGAATTTACTTTCTTGCCATTTTTACTTTGCTCACTTGAGCTTTTCTTTTTCTTTCTTAAGATACTTAATAATCAACATAAACCCTAAAAAATATTTAATGGTACTTGGACTATTTGGTTACTATCCTTGGTATTATGGAGCATGAGACTTTTCTTGGACTTGGAATTAGAAACCTTGGCCTATCTTGGAGACTTTGTGACCTTATCTGATTATTTTGTCTGGAGTTCTTGAGGTTCACCTCAAGACATTGGGTTGCTTGTTTGTTTTTGTGTGCAGGTTTTTGTGATTACACCCTCTGTTTGTAATCTGGAATTCACCCGTATACAGCCGTTACTCTGCCCAATTTTTGTGAAGACTTAATACACTTAAAATTTGGTTCTCTTAAGAGGTATAGTATTTTTGCTTGCTTGGTTTCAATCCAAGGAATGAGAATTCTATCTTGGCTCATAATGTCAAGTATTGGCTTCTTGTTGGTTAGATGGTTCTTATCCCTAGCTTTTATTTTATGCTTTAGGATAGTCCCTTCTTCTCCTCCCATCTTCTTCAATTTCAAAAATCTTCTTCCTCCTTTTTTTTTTGAAAAAAAAAACTCTTCTTGTTTTTGAACTTGAACCACTTTTATAATAAACTTGGACTTATGTCCATGTATTTTCAAAATATTTTCATAAATAAATCCCAATCAACTTAATGATACCTTGACATTTTTTGTGAGAAGACTAAAAGTCAATCAATCTCATTTCAAACTATCTTGCCATTTTGGCTTTTTATCTTTAAAATTTTCTCAAAAAGATTAGACTCTTGTCAATCCTTGTAGTGATGCAAACAACTATACTTCTACAATATGTAGTGAAGAGAGATATTTTCCACTTGGGTGTTGAGTGAGACATTGTTGATTTTAAAATCCAAGCCATATCCTCCATTTTGAGATGATGCAAATTCTCCTTTCTCATGGTTGTGGGTAGTAGGTATGTTTTTCACATGGACAATGACGATGATGTTTTATCTCATAAAATTAACCAACGCATTTGTGTTTCAAATTTTTAAAAGAGGAACTACGTGTACCCTGATCCCATATTGCACGAAAGATGGTACGTAGGCACTAAAGGCTCGCAACCACGGCGAGTGCAAAAATTATAAAATAAATACGCTTCTTTCCTCACCTCCACCATCCATTTTTTATATACAACAGTTTTTATAGCCAAAATATACAAATTTTACAAAGAGGCTCCTGCGGAGTACCGTAGATGTTTAGGGTGTTAATACCTTCCCTTTGCATAACCAATCCCCTTACCTTGAATCTTTCTCCCTCTTTTTGGGTTATTCGCTCTTTTCTCATTCCTTTAGAAATAATAAAGCGCGGTGACGATTTTTATTTTGATTTGTATAAAGTTTAGTCAATCCATTGGCTTAGTCTTAAACATTTCTACCGCTACAACAACATTCTCTTTTTTTTTTGTTTAATTAAATAAGTATCTCTTATTTTTTAGTAATTTTTAATATCTTATTTAATTAAAACTAATAAATAGAAATTATAAAGTTATTGAATAAATAAACTGTATTTTTAAAATTTACATAGATGTTTAAATATATATTAGTTTTCAATTTAATAATTTAATTAATAGTTTTTAATATATTAATTAATTAAAAATCATAAATTAAATAAATATTTTCTATTTTTAGCTATTTTTAATATATTAATTAATTAAAAATAATAAATAAAAAGAGATTATGAAATTATGAAATTAATATTTTTAAATTAAAATTAAAATAAAAAATAAATTAATATTAATAATTATGAAATTAACTTTAGTTTTAGTTCCAATTTTTTTTAAAGAAATTTAATCATTATTAAGTTATATTTATGAGAATCAAAAATATATTTAACTTTAAAATAATGTACATTTTTTCCACACTATACCGCATCTAGAACGCGTGTACATTTTTTCCACACAATACCGCGTCTACAACATGGGTTAGTGGCCAAGATTTTTGTATAAGTAGATGAATAATCACAAGCTTTGAAAAACATAGCTAAAGACTAGTTAAGAAACATGTTTAAGCTTTTAGATGCTTTATTTCTTTCCTGATAACCGCCAAAACACCATATCCTGATTACCAAACATGTCCCAAACAAACATTTCTTCCGATGGTGGCAATATAGAACTTGGTGCTAGCTTACTGACTAGTGGTAGCAAATACAACAAGATATGGCGAAAAAGTTTATACGTCGGAATCATGATCTCCTTGAAGAAGCCTACGACTTTTAGTAGCAACTATCAAGAGTCTGCATCATCACTGCCATACACTTCATTGCCTCATAGTCCACCTGCTAGAACCTCATCAACCAAATCTTTTGTTTCAATTGATGTAGTCTCTCATGTCCAAGAAGAAGAAGAAGGTGTTAGGACTGATATTGCTAGAATTGTGAAGGAGAAGGACTTGAAATCTCTTGTTGAACTTGGTGGAGTTGGTAGAGTTTATCATGTTCTTCATGGTCTAACTCAACACTCGTCAGAGGTATATATTAATCCTCTTTCATATGTTGCTAGATCATTTTGTATAGTGAAAATGTAGGGATTTGGTTTCATGTTTTCTTTTTTGTTTTGAATTTATGGAATAGGAGAACCTTGGAGCAACCTTCTCTGGGTTTCTTTGGAAAAGCTGCAAGCAAAATCTTTATACAATTTCAATGTTGTTGATTTCAGCCTTATTATCCTTTGCCACCGAGTTTAAACAGGAGGGGCCTAGATATGGTTGGCATGACGGTGTTGCTATGATTTTTGCTGTTTTGCTTCTGATTGCATTCTCTTCAATAACTGGCTTTTGGCGAGAAAGAAAAACAATCAAGTTGGCAAAGAAAAAAGGCGAGGCGATGAAATGTAATGTTAAAAGACATGAAGAGTTCCAAGTGGTTGATCTTACTCTTTCCATGTATGATATTGTGGTGGGTGACAAGGTGCGTTTGAAACCTCGTGATGAGGTTCCTGCTGATGGTTTGCTTTTGAGTGGTGACCATCTTGTGTTGGCCGAGGGAATGAAAAATGAAAAAATTGATTGTGAAGTGAACCCATTTCTTATAGCCGGTTCAAAGGTGGTTGAAGGTCATGGATGGATGCTTGTGACATCAGTTCGAAACAAATCAAACGCGAGTGAGATCAAGAGATGCCTTTTGGAAAATCTCATTGAGAAGCCAATTTCATACCTTGACAAAGCTTCTCTTTTTATCTTTACACTTGTTGCACTTGTATTGTTCATTCGTCTAATTTGTAAAAAGGACGGAGATGATGGCGGACTTCCAGATATTAAAGGGGATAATGTTTCAGTTAGCATGTTAACAGAACTCCTTGAAAATATTTTTTCAAGACCACAAGGAAGGATAGCAATTTTAGCACATATTTTTAGTGTTATAATACTATGTGTACAACATGGAGTCCCATTGATGATTACTTTATCTCTCCATTACCAAAATGATGAAGTAGTGATTGATCAAGAGGTTGTTCTTAATGATTTTTCAGCCTGTACAACAATGGGGTTGGTAAATGTCATCTGCATCGATGTATCTGGCGGTGCACTAATATTAAAGCCAATGGAGGTCGGTGAAATATGGATAGGGGAAGGGGAGACAGACATCAACAATATTCAGGAATCAGGAACATGTCAGGTTGTACTAGAGAAACTTAAACAAGGAGTTTGTTTATCAGTGCTTGCACCAGGACTATCTCATTCTCATGTCTTCAACTCACTTGTTTCTTGGGCAAACACAACATTGGAAATGGACATTATATCTTTCAGAGACAATTTTCATATTGTTAAGCATGGCAAACTGGATTCCAACCAAGAAGGCAGTGGAGTTTTGGTGAAAAAAGTAAGTGTCAATGATGAATTTATGCACTTGCACTGGAGTGGGGATGCATCCATAATGTTGGAAATGTGTTCACAATACTATGATAGTGAAGGAACATGCCATTCCATTGAAAATCAGAAAATCAAATTTGGGCAGGTGATTCAAGAAATGGAGTATAGGGGCCTTAAACCAATTGCATTTGCTTATACACAAACACAGGTGCAAGAACTCAAGCAAGATGAGATGACCTTATTAGCACTAATAGGTCTCAAATACAAATGCCAAGAATCGACAAAAACAGCTTTGAAAACCCTTCAAAAAAATGGAGTACATATCAAATTGGTTTCAGAGGATGATGACATCAGGATACTCAATGCCATGGCTTGTGAACTGGGAATTGAAGTGTCGATAGACGGTGGTCGCCTTGAAGGAAAGCAACTTCGTGATTTGGATGATAAAGCCAGATTGGTTAAAGTGGATAAAGCCATTGCAATGGGAAGTTTCAGTCCTAAAGACAAGCTTCTCATGGTAAAGTGTTTGCAAGACAGAGGTGATGTGGTTGCATTTATTGAACAAAGATTGATGACTAATCATATTTCAGACGTTTTAAAGCTAGCTGATGTAGGGATAATTCATAACTCTTTAAGCAGAACAATTGACAGAAAAGAGAGTTCTGATATATCTATCGCGTGTTTCAGTGCATTGGAAACAATCGTGAAATTGGGAAGAAGTAAATATCACAATATTCAAAAGTTCATACAACTTCAGCTGACAATTGGTATATCAGGGTTACTCATAACCTTGATTACAACAATTTTCACAGGAAATTCTCCCCTAACAGCAGTCCAATTGATTTGGGTGAATGCACTAATGTGTCCTCTGGGTGGCCTAATGATGGTGATGGAATTAAGTAGCGAGGAAGAGCTTACCAAACAACCATCTAATAGGAATCAGTCAATAATTACAAAGAAAATGTGGAAAAATATAATTTTTCAGATTTTGTATCAGGCTTCTGCAATCATGATACTTGAATTTGGGGGACATGTAACTGACAGTGAAAAGCAATTAAGGAAAGTCATGATCTTCAATACATTCTTTTTATGTCAGCTCTTTCATCTGCTCAATATCATGGATTTATTGAAAACACATGTTTTTAAGGTTGATGTACACAAGTATTGTTTCTTAGTGGCTTTAGGTGGTTGTTTTGTTTTGCAAATTGTCATAATTGAGTATGCAAAAAGCCTAGCAGATTGCATTCATCTGAATGCTACTGGATGGGCTATCTGTGTTCTAGTTAGTTCTGTTTCATGGGTACCTAAATGGACTTTGAAGATTCTTTCAGTTTTTTTCAACACCAACTATACTTCACCTTTGGACTCTCCACAGTCTACCCCACAACCTCTGTTCTATCTTTATTGGGGACTTCCAGTTATGATGCTTCTTTTATTCCCTCTAGGACTAGTGAAATTTCATTGATTGTTACTGGAAGCTCACCAAGTATATACCAGTTTAGAGTTTAGGTAATGCTTTACTTCTGCATCATGTGCATATTACATTCCTTTTGCAATATGTTTAAATGGAATCTTGTTTAGTGTTTTTCAATTTAGGCAATTTGTTATTCTGTTTGATCATTTTTCTTTAATTTGGTTACCCCAATTGTATTTATTGACCTCTAGGCTACCTGTTGCTGAATCAATTTAATAGAAATAACTTCTAAGAATAAATGCTTAATTTACATGGATTTAAATAATTTTTTTTTTATCTTAATAAGTTTGTGTGTTTGTTATTTTCGTTCATGTATATTTTTTTGAAATGATTCTTAAATGTTAAAATCTTTTTGATTTTAGTCTATAAAATAAAAACTCGCATGAAAATTCGCAAGAAACCTACATATTTTTCTGTGAATTTTTATTTTATGGACTAAAACCAAAAGGATGTTAACAATCAAAAATCATTTCTAAAAAAATAAGATACAAGGACGAAAATAAAAAACACCACAATTTTAAGTCATTTACATAATGACCATTCTTTGGCTATGGTTAATCACCTTAATTTTCTAGGTTAAAATCAACTAATTGCATTATGCATAATTAATACTTCAAAATTGAATGAGTTATTATTTTTAGCATTGTATTTTATTTTACCTATGCTCATTAATTTCTCTCTTTACACAATAATTAATTAAGAATTTCTTTCTACACCTAGTACCCTTCTCCAAGACCTGTTGCGAAAAATCCAAAATACCTCAAGAATTTGCAAGTGCACGTGCAAACGCACCATCAACGTGATTTCGTAGATTTACTTTGCATGTGCACATGCGAAGTCACCTGTTAGGTTTTTTCAGATATGTATCTGCGAATTTATGTCTGGGCAGATCAATCAACATTATTCAACATAATTCATAACATCCATTCAACATAATTCAAAGAAATTACATAATTAGTTATGCAGAAAATGAAAATTACATATTGTTAGAAACAAGAAGTTTAAGACGTTGCAACATCTTGATAACACCCGTTGCCGATCTTTGAAGCCTCGCATTCATCTCAATCGGACCCTTGGAAGAGTATTATTGAAAGGTATCCCACATAACCTCCAAATCGTCATCGTTCTTGAGCTCAAACGGAGTGAAATTTACTTTTCATTCAGTCTTAAGTGAAGGTGAACGATACTCAAGTTTGACCACCTTTCGATTATCTGGATACTGCAAGAGAGAATGCAATATCGTAATGAGCTCGACGAACGGCGTATCCTGCGAAAACCTGAATTGAAGTGGCGACTGTGCACCGCTGAAGTAGACAAAAGCATGGTGTGGATATGTTTGTGTCATTTCTTGTTTTGGTTTTTGATGGAGAATGAAATGGTTTAGAGACTCAATAGATAGACAAGTTGGAGTAATATGTGTTGCAATTGGCTTTTAAATCAGAGTCGTCACCCTTAATTTTTATCCTAAAGGAAGGAGATATAAAGAAATAATCCTAAAGTTTAGAGATTCTATATTTGGACTCGGTTCTAGACGAGGGAAACGTGTTAGGCACCCCCCTTATCTATCTTGTTCGCAAGGATACTAGGTTTAGAAGTGCGTTCTTAGGAAATAGGGTTTTTAATTATTATTGGGGAAAAAAGGTTTGAATTTTAGTTAAGGGGAAAAGGGTTTAAATTTTAGTTAGCGGGAAAAGGGTTTAAATTTTAGTTAGCGGGACTCGTCATGATTTTAATTGTATGCCTATGTATCCTCTTAGGAGGAATCAGGGTCTCATTTCGTAGTGCGCGATGTTGTTTGTATTTTTTTATGGATTGCAAAATATATTTTGAATTTCCCGCATACGTAGTCTAAGAGTGTGAATAAGCAGAGTTTGTTAGACCAAGTACACAGTTAATTTAAATATATTTGTATTCCTTTTCGAAAATTAATTGTTCGAATTAATTTAATCTGCGAAAAAAAGATTGATGTTTGGTTGAATATTTTTTATACGTACAGTGAGGGAGTCTGATATAATCTCCTCATCACGTGGCCAGATCTTGACCACGTGTCGCTCGCAGATGTAGTATTTTGGTGGATCGCGTGGGTTTTAATATTTTGATATAAAATATTAAATTAAATTATATGGTGATAAATATTTTTAAATATGTGGTTAAAAGATATGATTTAATATAAATAAATATTGTATTTTAAATGAGTTTTAAAATATTAAATTATTTATAATAATAAATAATACACAATATTATAATTATTAATATATATATATATATATATATATATATATATATATATATATATATATATATATATATATATATATATATATATATATATATATATATATATATATATATATATATATATATATATATATATATATATATATATATATATATATATATATATATATATATATATATATATATATATATACAGCAAAATAAATAAATAAATAAATATATAAATAAATTTATAAAAGAAAATAATAAATAAAAATAAATTAGTGGGGGTGCAAATTATTTTATAGTAGTAAAACTGGGGGTGTTATTAGGAAGGGCCTGAATTCAGATTTTGAATTCAGGCCTAGAAGATCAGGGAGTGCGTATTGTATGCTAGCAGTAAAATAAAATAAAAATATGGTGCGAACAGCGATTGGGCCTAGCCCAATGAACACACCTTTGATCCGTTCGGATCAGGTGTGGGGAGGCGTACCGTTAAAGTCGTGGGCATGCGTGCGAGGGTGTTGGATTGAAATTGTATGGTGGTTGACAAGGGAGTACGGTATGGAGCATGGGGCGTGCGTGTACTAGATTATAACAGAATTATAATTCTAAATATGTTTTCTTTTCTCAGAATATTCATCTCTCTCACTTTCTGCTCATCCACCTTTCTCTCTCTCTCGCCACTTTACAATACAAATCCTAAAATGTGTTCAACACCGGCGTCAGCGGCCTGCAATTGTTTTAATGTTTTGACTATGGTTCGATTTCTGTGTAAATGTATTTGTACTGATTTAGGGTTTTAGATTAGGAAGTATTTTGAAATTGGTGTCTGTAAAAATAAGAACATTATTGAATTCTGATTTTCGTAATTGAATTCGTTTCCAGATTTAGCTGATATTCGTTTTCTGCAATTACTGTCTTTGTTTCTGCGTTTTAGAACAACATGTCCTTACTTACACGTGTGTGCTGATCTCTACAGTAATAGTTTGTGGCATAATTGAGCCATACACTTTTTCTAATTGTTTTGGGCCGGCTGTGCGTTTTGAGACAACATGTTTGAATAAAAGAACTGCTAGTTTGGGCTTTGCAAAAGGACACCATTTTTAACATATTAAACAAATCTGAATGAAATCAAAAAAAGAAAATAGTTTTCAAAACTAATTAAAAAAACTTGTAAAGGGCCCTCGGTGTTTTGGACCTGTAAGCTTTGGAGCTGTGTTTTAGAAAGCCTTTTTTTTAGTTCCACGTTTTTAATCATAATCTCAATAAATATTCTAGTACTAATAAATAATTATGACATATCAATAATGATATGATTAATAATAATGTTAGAAAAATAATAATAAAATTTATTTGTTAATAAAAAGAAAGAATGATAATATAATTGTTTTAAAAAATTAGATGAAAGGATCAACTGGGCTCGGGCTTGATTTTAACAAACAATTGTTTTATAAAACAAAATATTTTTATCACAAACAGTTTTTTTTCAAACAAAAAAAAACCTATTGGGCCGAAATTGCCTAAAAATGTGTTTTTTTCTTTCTCCCAAATTACTAACTTTAAAAAAATGTTTTAAACATGATAGTAATAATTACCAACTATAATAATGATGATAAATAAAATTGAATAATAAAGAGTCAGAAATTGCCTTTCAATTATTTGGGCTATCAAGAAAAACTATAATGGGTTTGAAGTTTGACTACTATTGGGCCACTTATTTGGCTTTGGATACAAAAAAAAATTGCTTCAGAAAAAATCTAAATGGGCCTTTAAACGAGGCAAATTGTTTTCATACTGTTTACGCGTAAATTTGGTAAACAACCGCTAGTCTTCCAAACTAAACACTTTGGTGACTTGCAGGATCGACTAGATTGATCCTAGGACATGCGTCTAAGTTCCTAAGTTTGAACTGGTAATGAATTTTATGATTAAGATTATTTTATTGATAACAGTATGAAGATTAGAAATATAATTTACAGTAAGTTCAAATAAGAAAGTTTTTGAATGAATAATGTAAGGGCTTCGACTAAAAATGTAAAGAAACATAAAGAATACATGTTGTACCCAAAAATTTTCCCTCCCGTATTTCTCAACACATGGCAAGTGAGGTCCCCAAATTGCTCAAGGAAGTTCAAGAGTTGACCAGACAAACTCTCTCCTAAGACAATATATCTCAAATTAGGGTTTCCATCTTCATCAAGATGTGTGAACCACAAAGGACCCAAATTCTCACCATTGTCCTAATATGTCCTCAAGATCATCCATGTCAAGTTTCAAGCCTTGCAGAAGAAGTTTGCTCAATCAATTGCTCAAATGCTTGAAAATCAACTGTGTTAGGTCAAAAGTCAACTGTGGCCCACATACAGTCAAACTTCAATATTTTTGGTCAACATCCTAATTTTGAAGTATTATTCATCATTTTATCAAGGGTTGATCATGATTCCTCAAGGATTGCTCACAATTCATCAAAACCCAAAAGTTGCTAAATTAGGGTTTTGCAGGAAAAGTCAACTCAACTGTGACCAAGCATAACTTTCTCATACTTTATCAGAAATGACCCATCCAAAGCTCATTTTGAATAGGATGAAATTCCATACAATTAATCTTCATCTCCAAAATTCATAATATGCACTCACAAAAAGATATGAATTTTGACATTATAGGTCCTTTTGAAAAGTCAACAAAAACACCTTTTGGGTCAAAGCTTCATACATGAACATGAAAGACTCAATTGAGATTAGACCAAATGGGTTGCTTAGAGGAAATCCTAA